TGACGGTCAGCACTTTGTCAGCCATGTGTGTTGGGTTGCGGTGTTGTCTGATAATCCACAGTCTGTTTCATGAAGTCCTTGTTGAACATTTACTACAGAAACAACCCCACCTAACAATGGTTGTTCCTTTGAAAGGGTTAATGTGTTCACATTTCTTGGTGTATGGATAAGAGACTTACTTGGAAAACTCATGTAGAAAAATCATCTGTAAATGTGAGAAAGTGAATAACATCCTCAGAAGTCTAGCAGGAAGTGATTGGGGGGCTAAATGTTCTACATTATAGAAAAACAATGGACCCCCTTCTGTAATGTCTGTATTGTTCTGATATCACCAATAAAAAATAAGAGACAAAATAAAATCTGATAATCTGGATTTGATAATCCTTAAAGACACGGTCACACTGGCCATCCGTACCGTGCCCAAGCACGCTTCAACGCTAAAGTCCAGTTCGTTTGACCAGTGTGACCGCTCCGTATCGTGCTCAGGCACGGTACACTTCCTTTGCTTTGGCACACTTCAGAGAGGTGTGCTTCAGCACGGTACACTTAATGCATGAGCACAAGCACGCGGGTACATAGAGCTGACAGCCTTCATTATGGAGAAATCCAGAGTTTCATGGCTGTATCTGACTAACATGACACAATATAAGACACAAAGTAGCTGTCATGTTCTGTGTTGTTCTCCAATGTGCGGGCATCCGCGCGGCCGAGTCCACGCGCAAGTCCATGCGTGAGTCTACGTGGACGCCTGCACATCGGAGAACAAATAATTAATTTATGGCTGTGTCTGATTAAAATGGCTTAAATAAGCTGTAAAGTCAGTAAAGTAGCTGTCATGGGTTTTTCTCTGATGTGCAGACGCGGACTCGACTGCGCGTCTCTCTCTCTCTCTCTCTCTCTCTCTCTCGTCCGCTTGTTTGTAAACTGAGCATGCTTCATAATAACATAAAGCGTGCATGTGTTGTATTAAGACGTTATGTACAAGAGGTAATCGTGCTTAGGCACGGATAGTCCTGTGTAGTGTGACCGTGGGCCGCGCCGGCCAGCGGGGGAATGGCGCTGCGGGGGGGCGCAACTTCAAAAAAAGTAATCTATATATAGGACAAATATTGATCAAATTCTGCTTGAGAATGGAACAGTTGTTACATCTACAAATGATATTCTTCAAACTTTAATGAACTATTACACTAATAATTTTAAGGAGGTAGAATCACGGTCACTTAATTTGTCCATACCTGAAGATATTAAATCATGCCCTCGTCCTAAACTTACAGATGAACAGCATTTATAATGTGTAGGTCCAATTAACTTAATTCTAAGTTGATCAAATCTTACTGGAGGTAAATTGATGATTTGTTTTTCATTCGGTGAGGTAATGCTGAAGATTGAAAAGAATTTCACGCGTTTATGAATTCTAGAACGGAATCCATGAAGTTCATTTTGTGTTTTGACTCAGATCATATTTCCTTTTTGGATGTTTTGGTGAAAAAGGCGGAAACTTCTGTTTGGGATTGTTATGGTTGGGTTAAACAATACCCTGAAATCTGGGCCGGGGTGTGGTCAGGTGTGAAGTGCCCAATGTGAATACAAGCTTCTCTCACTGTATAGACACTTTTTGATGATAAGGCTATGGCTGTATTCAGATGCTAAAAATGCACTTCACGGCAGATTGTGGAAGATAATGTGAGAGTAAAACCAAGTTAACGTATGAAAGGCTACATGTGGATAGAGACAGAAACTCAACAGAATAGTTCATTTACCCTGATAGCAAGATTTGAGTTGGTCTCCTTCCTCTTTGTATGGGGCTCTACAAACTGCAGCCAGGTCAGGATCCACTGCTGCCTGCCAGTCGTTTGGGCTCCAGACCTTCCAGATGAAGCAAGTCGCTTATAGCGGGTGTACTGGGTCCTCAGAGAATTCCACCTCTTCTTGAGCTCTTTCTCTGAGAGACAAAGATACATTTTAAACATTGTGCCCATGTCCAAATCATGTCTATATGCAGAGCCAACAAAGGTTATTTTCAGTGGTGGATGAGTCAGTTCATCAACTTCAGTTGTTTTGGGAGAACACCATCTTTCACCTAGAAAGATGGTGTTCTCCCAAAACAATTGAAGCCCCAGTCCCACCTTGGAACATGTAACTCCAACGACCCACAGACGACTGGGGGTGGTAACGATTCTAGGCCAAACAAGGCCAACGACTCAGCTAACGACTCTGATGTGAGTCATCCACAGAGGCTTAAATCTCAAGCTCCATCCACCAGATAGTTCATAACTGAAGAAACCTTTTGGAGGAGAGGTGAAACGTCTTCAAAATCTTTAACCAGTCCAGTTGCCTTTGGATAAAGCTTCGAATTTGCCATGACCTGGATCACTGAGAACCTACACAGACAAGAAGAAATATAGGATGTAGAGTTTATTTCCAGCTCTTTGTTAGCATGATTGATAGCATGTGTGTCTGTAACGTTGTAGGTTATCAGAGTAACGTCGAGTAGAATTTTCCTTCTGTGACTCTAATGTGTGTCAGATGTCCGGGTTTCAGGATCTTAAAGATTTATTCAGACGGCGGCTGCTCGCTGCGGTTATCAGAGATATATCAGAAACTACAACATGTGGATACGAAAAGGAGCTCCACCGACAAAGAAAACTGCTGGATGTGATTTTAATACCTGAAATCAAGCTGCAGAGAGCAGGTAGGTTTTCTTTCCACTTTCCACCAAAGTAGATATGATTATTGGAGATAAGTTTATGAAATGGTATGCTATTCACAGGAGGAAAATAGTGAATTACATTTACTCTCATTACTGTAATTGAGTGTTTTTTTGAATCTGTACTTTTACTTAAGTACTTTTACTCAAGTATTGTTCTAAAAACTTCAAAGCAGATACAGTTGAAGCTTCAGTGGGGAACACAGTGACTTATAAAAATATCTCATAGAAGCTCATACAGGGTCTCTTGGGGTCAGGGTTAATAATAAATAGTGCAAATGCTGATTGACGTTAACAATAACACTGAAATGTATTTATTTGTTGTGTTTATGTCTGTTTGTTTCTGCATACATTGAAAAACAAGCAGAACTACAGTACATAAGGTTATCAAATACTATGAAGAAAAACAAATGTTTTACTTGGCTGAATACCAAACATAAGTTTGATATAATATGTTTACAGGAGACACACTCAACTCAAAAAGAGGAAGAGATGTGGATATGAGAATGGATGGGAGCTATCATTTTTAATCGTGGTTCAAGAAGTCCGAGGGGTGATGCAATCTTACTCAGGGAGCATCTGGATTATTCTTTAAACAAGATAGATGGTCGTATAATTATGATGTTACATTTATGTTTAATTTATTTATATGCTCGAAATAGCAAGGTTCATACGTTTTTTTAAATGTGCTCAATATGATTCAGCATTTCAAACAATCAATCCATTATTTAGAAACTAAAATAATCAACTCAAATCCTCTCAACTCAAAGCGTTTCTGAGTGAGACAAAGAGCCTGTCAGTATTTTCTTCAACATTTCCATTCATAAATCAGCCCACTACTTTATAAGCCTTGATTATTAGACATCATGAAACATGCTGCTGGTTAAAAGAAGGTGTAAACAAAGTGTCATGTTGTTGATGTTTTTGAAAAGAACAAGTTGCTCTGAAAACAACAAGTTGCTCTGAAAACACTACAGTTTTTAGCTTTTCTGTTTTGTATGAAATATTAATTTCCTTTGTCAGTCACAACCTGTTTAATTGATCAACTGTTACAGAGGTTGGAAAAACAGGGAGGTGGACCCAAGTGCAGAAAACAAAAATATTTAATTAAACAAAAAGGCCAAAGGCAACAAAACACAGGGATCAAAAATAGGGAGCCACAGAGGAGCACAAGCAAAAACTAACATTCATACAACATACAACGAACTGACGCAGAAGGGAAGAAACACAGAGACTAAATAGACACAGGGGTAATCAAACACAGGTGAGACTAATGACACAGGTGAAGACTATGAGGGCAATCACACAGGAAGGAATGGACACAACACTGAGGACAACTACAAAATAAAATACATGAAACACTGAAGACACACAGAACTCAAGAATGAAACAAAGCACACTAGAACATAAAGAAACACTAACCTAGAAAACACACAAGGGAAACAACACCATCAAACAAGAATGAGAACTAAAAACAACAAGAAAACCTAAACTCTGAAAATAAGAAACCAAATCATGACATCAACTGAACAAACTACTCATCACGTAGTTATCATGCTACAAGTTTTAGACTTGTAATCAATCTTTGTAGTAGCCTCGCTATGAGCACAAAAAGTGAACGTACAGCTCCGACCTGAATCAAAAACCAAAGAAACAAATGACACATAATACTTCCCTAAGGGTTTGAAATGTTGTGTCCACTTGTTTTATTTTCTTACTTTAATTTGTAAAGATTTGCATGAACTTATCATGCTTTTGTCAAATAAAATATTAAAAGAATGGCTGTAAACCATAACGCGTTAATCACAGTCAGCTTAGGTCTGAAATGAATGCAAGTTTTTTAAATGACAGTACGTGCAGTGATGGAATGAAACCAACCAACCACCATGAATGGGAAAGGAACCACAGATCGGATTTGAACCAAGGCTGCAAGGCTTTTTACACAACCTCTTCGGCTGGTTTAATTTACTTTTACTTTTTTTACCAATTCCCTTTTTCCGTGGATAAGTTAATATAGTGTCTTCAGTCTACCACAAGTTCCTTATTTTCTTTCCAAATAAAGGTCGGTTTGTATCAGAAAAGGAAGTAAAGTAACCTAAGCTTAAGACAAATTACAAAATAATAGCATTAAAAACTTGTTTCATATGCAAAATAAGTGAATTCCAATGATTAAAACATTATCAATTCCAATTAACTATCGATTTTCAGCCATTAAAAATAAAATAATTTGACAGCCCTTATTAATATTAAAAAATCAGTCCAAGTACTGATAATGTTTGTTTACTGTGTCCTGCAGATGTCCAGCAGCTGTTGGTGAGTAAAGAAGAGCTTCCACCTGAGCAGCAGGAGTGGAGCCACATTCTGGACCAGGAGGACACTAAGCCTCAACACATTAAAGAAGAACATGAGGAACTGTGGATCAGTCAGGAGGAAGAACAGCTTCAAGGACTGGAGGAAGCTGATACCACCAAGTTCCCCTTCACTCCTGTCTCTGTGAAGAGTGAAGATGATGAAGAGAAACCTCAGTCCTCACAGCTTCATCAGAGACAAACTGAACAGATGGAAACAGGAATTGATGGAGAGGACTGTGGAGGAGCAGAACCAGAGAGCGACTCAGATCCAGAGAGACCTTTACAACCAGAGATTGAGGTCAAGATTGAAGACTCTGATGAACCTGAGACTGATGACAGTGATGATTGGCAAGAGACAAAAGAAGATCTGTCAGAATCAAACTTGAAAAATAAGAAACTAAAGACTGGTAAGAGACCACATAGGTGCTCGGAGTGTGGTGAAAGATTTTACCACAAAGGGTCAATGACCAAACACATGTTGGTTCATACAGGAGAGAAACCCTTCAGCTGCTGTTTGTGTGATAAAAGATTAAGTACTAAGGGAAGTCTGACCACTCATATGATGGTTCACAGTGAAAAGAAACGCTACAGCTGCTCTCAGTGTGAGAAAAGATTTACCCATAAGGCTGGTCTGACAAATCACATGGCAAACCACAGAGGGGAGAAACCCTTCAGCTGCACTGAGTGTGGTAAAAGTTTTACCCAAAGAGGAACTCTGGCCACACACATGTTAGGTCATACAGGAGAGAAACCATTCAGCTGCTCTCAATGTGAGAAAACATTTACTCATAAGTCTAGTTTGACATATCACATGGCAAATCATAGAGGGGAGAAACCCTTCAGCTGCCTTGAGTGCAGTAAAAGATTTAACCGAAAGAAGGTTATGACCAGACACATGTTAGGTCATACAGGAGAGAAACCCTTCAGCTGCTCTGAGTGTGGTAAAAGATTTAATCGAAAAGATCTTGTGACCAAACACATGTTAGTTCACACAGGAAAGAAACTCTTCAGCTGCGCTGAGTGTGGTAAAAGATTTAAGCAAAAATGGCATCTGACCACACACATGATGATTCACACTGGAGAGAAATGCTAATCCTGTGCAATGTTAAAAAAGATCCAAAGGAATCCAAGTTAACAACATCACTAATGTGTATTCATAAGTATGTATTGACTAACAGATGTATAACTGCTGTTATAAAGGGATATAAGACAATTCTATTGACAGAAATCTGTCTCTACTGTTTTGCCATTGATGTTTTGTTGATGACATGTGAACCAGTAAGTTGGGAGCAGCTATGACATTCGAATTGAAAGGGTTTATATGAAACAGTTACAGTGTAAGGATTCTTCTTCTCTCCTGATATCTTCTATTCTTTCTGTCACTCTGTTTCCTTGGAGGCCTCTGTGTTGGGTAGCACAAGTTCTTCAGACAGCTCATGTGTAACCTTGTAATAAATAAACTGATGGAGAGTGAGAAAGACTTTCATCTACTTGTGTTATTTTGTGTGGAGTGTCTAAAGTCTCTTTGGTAAAGAAAAGGAGTTCAGCAGATCCTGATGCAGAGTGACCACAGTCAGATCAGGTCCAGGTTGATTTCACTGAAAACCTTTAACCCTTAATAAGAATCCTGCAGTCAGAATACAAAATAAAGAAAATCTCAATGACACCTGAACATGCACAGGATTAATTAAGAGTGCAGAGGCCACTGGGCACAAAACTGCTGCAGCCTTTGATCACAAACTGAATGACAACACCTGTAGATGTCATCTGGCATTCTGGATTTACTCAACATATTGTTAGAAGAAACAATAGAAATGCATTAGATAGATACTTTATCCATCCCCTGGGGGAAATTCAGGAGTGTCCCATAGCTCACAAGTTAGAAAAAATAGAACAGAGAAAACATCAATATTAATTTAAAACTGCATAGATATTAACAGATAATTAAAATACTTAAAGTCTTTATATTCCTTAATGCTTCTTATAATGGCACAAATCACCAGGGTGTTAGGGAGAGAAACAAGAAAACGGCAGACAGTAACGTTCCACCCACAGATCCAGCCATGAGCTGCTACCATTGGCCTGTGTGTTAAAAAGCCTAATGGCTGTGGGGACAAAGGATCTCCTGAACCTCTCGGTCCTGCAGCACAGTGAAATTAGATGTCCAATGCAGCTACTTCTCCTACCTGCCATGATGTCATGAAGAGGATGACTAACATTGTCCAATATATTCTGTCCTTTCTTTCGCACGCATCTCTCCACCTCAATCCTCAGTAAGTCCCTCTTGCCTAAAACTGAGCTAGCCTTTTTTATCAGCTTGTCAAGCCGCCTAGTGTTCTTGTCAGTCATGTTGCCCCCCCAGGCAGATCACATAAAAAAGAACACTCTCCACCACTGACTGCCCATTCCTAATGCACGCCACAATAGCCGTGTCATCAGAATATTTCTGAATGTGGCAGAATTCAGAATTCCATGTACAAAGTGAACAGGAATGGAGCTAGCACAGTCCCCTGAGGAGCCCCCATCTTGCTAACCACCGTACCAGAGACACAGTTCCCCAGCCTGACAAACTGTGGTCGATCTGTCAGGTAATCTGTGATCCAGGCAGCGAGAGAGGAATCCACCCCCATCCCCTCAAGTTTGTGTCTTAGAAGAGGGGGCTGGATGGTGTTGAAAGCGCTTGAAAAATCAAAGAACATAATCCTCACATAACTACACAGCTCCTCCAAGTGGGAGTAGGCCCTGTGGAGCATGTACAGCACAGCATCATCCACTCCAATATGCTGCTGGTACGCAAACTGTAGAGGGTCCATTGAATGTCCAACCTGTTGTCCAAGACTGCGAAGAAGTAACAGTTTCAGTGTCTTCATGATGTGTGAAATGAGAGCCACCGGCCTATAGTCATTTAGCTTGTTTGGACGGCCTACTTTAGGTACCGGTACGAGACATGATGTTTTCCAGAGAAGCGAAACTTTCGCCTTCTGTAGACTTAGGTTAAAGATCCACTGGAGGGGTTCCGCCAGTTGGGCTGCACACTCTTTAAGCAGTCTCGGACACACCCCATCAGAACCAGCTGCTTTTCCAGGATGCAGCCTCTGAAGCTCTGACCTCACATCATCCATTGTGAAGAACAGGGGAGGGGTCCCAGGTGAGGGGGAAGTTGCAGCAGCAGTGTGAGGAGTGCAGCTGTGTGGAGAAGAAAGGGAGAGGTGTCTTGCAGCTAAAGTAGTGGTAGAGGGAATGGGTGAGACTATATCAGCTGGTGCTGGACACACACTAGCCACCATGTGAAACCTGTTGAAAAACTGGTTGAAGACATTGGATTTATCAACATCATCATCACTAGTGGTAAATTGGCAGTTCTTTTTACTGTAGCCAATGATGGTTCTCATTCCCCTCCACACCTCTTTGGTGTCATTATGCTGCAGCTTCCTCTCTACTTTCTTTTTGTAGTTCGTCCTTGCCTGCTTTAATGCCCTCTTTAGCTCATGTTGCACACTCTTGAGCTTCACCCTGTCTCCCTCCCCAAAGGCCTCTTTTTTCTTGTTAAGGAGTTTCTTGATGTTACTTATGATCCAGGCTTTGTTATAGAGAACGCACCGTACAGTCCTTACTGGTATCACAGTTTCCCAGCAAAGATAAATATAGTCTGTGGTGCATTCAACTATTCTGTCCATGTTACTGTCCAAGTTGTTCCCCTGTGACTCCAGCAGTACACTCCAATCGGTGCGCTCAAAGCAAGTCCCTTAAATAATCACTAGCCTCTGGTGTCCACTTCCTGAATGAGCGAATGGTTGCATGCTGACTAAGTACACAGGATTTATAGGAAGGCTGAAGAAAGACCAGGTTGTGATCTGGTCTGCCTAGTGGTGGTACAGCTGAAGCACTGTAAGCTTCTTTGATGTTAGCATACAGCAGATCAAATGTCTTATTTCCCCTTGTCTGACAGTAAACAAACAGTGAAAAGCTAGTCAGATTGGAGTTGAGGTTGACATGATTAAAATCTCCGGATATTGCAATGAACGCATCTGGGTGTTGAGTCTGTATTCTTGCAACAGTTTTATTGATGACGTCACATGCCACCATAGCAACCGCTCTTGGTGGAATGTAAACAACAATGGCGACGATGTGAGAGAACTTCCTCGGTACATAATACAGTCTGAGACCAACTGCCAGAAGTTCAATTTCCTGTCAGCACAGCTTTTCTTTCGCAGTTATATGACCAAGGTTACACCACCGATTTTGTCACAAACAGAACCAGGCCCTCACCCTCACCTTTGCACTTTCCACTCACTCTCACATCTCTGTCTGCTGGTACCAGTTAAGTCGACAGAAGTGTCCAGAATGTAATTGTTCAGCCAGGTCTCCGTAACACACGAGACTACACTCACTATGTCTCTTGGTCTTTCACAAGTGCCTCCAGCTCTTCACATTTGTTGGACAGGGAGTTGACATTCCCCATGAGGATTGAAGGTAGGACAGGCTTAAATCTCCATCTCTGAGCCTTACATTTAGCCTTAAGCTTAGCTCCAGCCCGACATCCGTGGCATGCCTTCTTAAGCTCAGCCGGGATGTGATGACTTACTCCACGACTTGTCCGTTGCAGAATAAGGAGGTCCTCTCTCGAGTACACTAACCTTGTCATTGTACTCATTTTCAGTCAAAAATACACACTAAGACAACAAAAATAATAAAAAATAATGATAGAAAAACATACACTAACGACGGCGCTACAAGGACTTGCTGCATCCCAATACGGAGCATAGCAACCAGGAAACTATATCATATCTGATATACCGTTAAACAGTTAAACTACTTCTGCTTGTTGTATTTCCCTTTGTATTTGTAGTATATACCCATTTTTCTACTTTAGTGTGGAGTCCACTTAAAAAAACCTGCAAATATTCTCACAAAGTTGTTAAATCTATTCTCATAGACTCGTTCGCAAATGTTGGGTAGATTGTTGTTGGAGTTAAGTTACACTACACCCCATTTTGTAAACAAATAAGACAGCATACATACAGTTATTAGATCAGTAACAATTACCATCAACAGGGCAGAGACATGATTGGAAAAACTATGAATTGGGGAATTTACACAAACTTGCTACAGCACATAAACATGTAAGAATATCAGTTTAAGGACACTTCTGTGAAAAACATGTCCAGTGTAGGTCAAAGTAAAAAGATGTTTATCTTTTTAACATAACTACACATACTGCCCCGATGCACCGTTAAAGTCATGGCATATTAACCTATCAAAATGATTTGTGGCATATAAGAAATGTGTTTTGTTGTTAACATTTGAAGAAGTAAGTCCTGATAAGTGAAGGGATGAAAATCCTTTACCTGGGTAAATCCATCTTACCTTCTAAGCTTTCACTTGTGTGTCTGCACTTCATGTCAGCTGATCAGAGAAGTTGAGTCAAAAGAAACTCATGACTGTGGAGCAGTGGTGATAGGCGATGCTCTGTCTATGCACTGGTTAAGACTGACCTGACTGACCACAGAATCTGGGGTTGTTATGAGCTGTTAGGGTTCTGGAATGACGAGTCAAAGGACCAAAGGACCAAAGCACAGAATGTTTACTTTGGAATACATGGAAACATGTCAGTTTATATGTCGCCATGGGAACAAACAATCAGGAAATCCTATTATGGGTCCATTTACATAACACAACAAACAAGAAACAAACAAAGTCGCTGCTTCATGAGTAAATATTTCAGTCCTGTCTCTACAGTCAATACACAAATGTACTAAATCAGTTCCTGATACCCCAATATAGCAACAATGTTCATCAGTGCTCTGAAAACTCCCCCAACTCTAGCATCATGGCTTCACTTTGTTCATGAAATAAATAAACAAGTCTGCTTGTAGTTGTGTTGAAATATTCATAAATGAAAGCAGTTACTTTCATTGCAAATAAGAAAAGTTTTATGATTGATGACGAGTCAGGTTACTGTGGGAAGTGGATAGCACCAAGATCAATCAAAGAGCAAAAGGGGCACTGAACAAAGAAAGAGCAGTCTCAATCTCTCTTGGGAAAGGAGAAGGAAAAGCAATGATTTAAAAAACAAGGGAAAAGAAATATGGCAGAAAAGATGGGATGACGATCAGAAAGGAAGTGGTTTGTATAAAATACAAAAATCTGTTGTCACAAAGAGCTATAAAGAAAGGAATAGAAGGGAGGAAATGATCATAATGAGACTTAGGGTCGGTCATACTGGGCTGAATGACACAATGGTTATACTAGGGAAAAGGAACAGGGACGAGTGTGAAAGATGCAGAACTCAGGAAAATGTAGAACATATATTATTACATTGTAATAAGTATGTAAATGAGAGAGAGAGATTGAAAGAGAAAATCAGCGCTACAGGGCGTGAATGGAATATGAGAGGAATACTGGACACAGAGGAAGAAGGAGAGGAGATAAGAGCTGTCAGGAGGGCTCTTTATTCATTCTTATATTACACAAAGGTGGCAGGAAGAATTTAAAGTCTAGACAAGGGAAGTGACATGATGATACACACTCTTGAACAGTAGGTGGCGGTATGCACCTTTAAGCTGTTTGCGATCCGCCAAAAATTCCCAGAGAAGAAGTAGAAGATGGCGGACCGGGTGCAGCATGTTTTCTGCTAGCTTCGTCTGCATACTTTACCTTCCAACTCAATTCTGTGTGATCGTATGAATCTCTAATACACCATACTGACGCTTTAACCATAAAGTGCTCCGGAAACTGCAGCATGAAGACGAAGAAGAAGCTCTCTTCAGCCCGCAGTAGCTCGGAGATTGAAGACCACGATGATGCTAAGATGGAGGTCTCTACTACGTACTACGGTGAGTGTAATGTATGTCGTTACAGTGTTTCCAGATTGAAAATACAGCAATATCGTACTGCAGCTTTAAAATGATCGTGTTTTACTTAAAACTATTGTACATATTTAAACAAACGAGACGGGTCCTACCGCACTGAATGACAAAACTATGCTCTGCACACCACATGAATTGAAATAAACAAAGAAAGAAAAAGGACTACAAAGTCCAGCTTCAGACCACAGGCCAAGAAGCTTCAACTTTAGAGGTGAACAATGCAGAGTTCATGGAAAGAGTCCTGGAACTCACTGCTGTCAAGTCAGCCCGCGTTTGATTTTTGCTGCTCATTTATCTGCTCCTTTACGGTAAAGAAGAAGAGAGTCGCTCTGACCCATGTGACACTGGACTGAAAGTAGATCACCCTTAGACACACACCCCACGATGGCTGTGTCATCGGAGAACTTCTGCAGGTGGCAACTCCCAGAGTTGTAGCAGAAGTCCGAGGTGTACAGGGTGAAGAGAAAAGGGGAGAGAACTGTCCCCTGCGGGGCCCCTGTACTGCAGACCACCATGTCAGACTCACAGTCTGTTAGTCTGTTGGTGAGGTAGTCCGTTGTCCATGCAGCCAGGTGACAGTCCAGTCCCGCTCTCTCTAGCTTCCCCCTGAGCAGTGCAGGCTGCATACAGCGATTAGCCTAGCTATCAGATAATTTGATTAAGTCATCTTTAAACTGACCAGCACAAATAGTCTCGGTGATTGTCGGCCTATATATGGAAAGTTGTTTATCGTGGTTATGACATTGCTATATGACTGTGTGTGGTTATGTGGGTCAGTGACAAATAAGGGTTTTTCAGATGACCAATTCAAAAATATTTTAAAAACACAATTTGAAAGCATGCATCAGGTTCATTAAAATGTAAGATTTGTATTCATGTTGGTTTTGTGTTATTTAAAATGACATTTAAACTTTTTTTTTTTTACAAAAGGTAAGGCTAAATGGACCTAAAAATGTCAAGTGAAACTGAAAAAATAAGAATATTTTATACATCTGGAGTATATGTAAGTGTACTCATGATTGTAATTACTTCATTTTAAAATAGCACAAGAAAATAGATTTTATTAGGATTATCCCTAAAGTTATGCCCTTTTTCAATACTGAGCGGGACACAAAGCTGTAAACACCTCTGTTTTCTAATACATTTTTGGCAAATTATGTAAAAATTGTTAAAAACATGTTATTTCACTGCAATAGAGGACTACTTTTATTCCACTTTAATTTTCCAGTATTTTATTATATTTTTTTTACAAGAAATACTGGTTACACCAATTGACGCAAACCAGTTACACCAACTGACCATGCTGCTTCTACAGTCAAAGGCCATTGTTTCTTGAAGAAATTGTTGTTAGCTTCCTCCATTTTATGTTTGCTCCACCTACCAAAGTGCACAGAATACCAGTGCACTGATGACAGTAATGTAGCACACGTATGTTTGCCTTGAACACAGAATAGTATAAAACTGAAGTGAATAGATCGGCCTTTTGGATGGGTCTCATAGATCAGCGAATTCTTACTGATACCTGATCTAGCTGTCTTAGTCAAGATGGGACCGACATCCTATACCATCCAATAATTGGATCGGTGCATCCTTAATTAATTCATTAATTACAACATCTGACCAAAATCTTCAGGGGGAATTCATTTATTTAGTATTTGGAATAAACTCAAGGTACTTGTGCCCTAATGAAAGGATAAGAGATTAGTGAAGAAACCCCTTGCCCCAATTATGCCCCTATGCCCTATTGATGATTTGGCTATCCTAGCCTACGGCCCTAGTTGCCCCTGCAACCAAAACAGCATTGCCACCTTCAACAGGCCCAGGCTCTGTTTACAGTATGTGAGTTAGCCATGTTTTGACAACGCTTATACTTACCACCCTACCACACTGGCATTCACAATTCAACCTTGTAGACCGAAGGGTAGCAAGAACCAGGTCATCACCGGTGTTGTCAAGTGGGACCCACCCTTCACCAGATGTTCGTCTAATTAGGTCCACAACTTCCCCGGAAGACTAGACATTCAGCTTTGGCGTCCTAGAGACACCCCCCTCCATGGTAGCTCTCAACGCCCACCATACCCACAGGCAACACTTGACATCTTACCTTCTTCTACATCATGGCCATCACAGCCCAAACAGCATTGCCACCTTCTATAGGACCAGACGTTGGCAAGCAAGCTCCAGGTAGTGGCACGCTGATACTACCTACCCTACCACATGGCCCCTGATAGCCGCACATCTAAAATGCAACTACTGGTGCCAATATTACACCATACATGCATATATTAGATCATACATGTTTAAAGAGCCCATATTATGCCTTTTCTGGTTTTATATGCTCTTTAATGTGTTTTCCAAGTGTCCTGTGAAACGCGGCTTCTCCTACGTCCTCCTGTTAGCTGTAGCATTAGCTGTATGTAAAGCTCGGTTCTAGCCCCCCTCAAAAAAAATTTGTCAGTGTGACGTCTTGTCAGTGTGATATCACTGATCTAAGCCCATTGGCTCGTTGTGGCAAGCCCATGTTGTATGCCCGTTAACTTCTGTAGCACGCCCACGATATGCCGTAGCCTGTGGTAGCACAGCAGTGCTAAGGTGCTAATGTTTATGCTCCCCGGTCCTCTGAGCCAGAGTGGCTGAGCGACTGACCAATTACGGCAGAGCTGACAGGCCGACCAATCAGATCAGACTTGGCACACATGGGGACTCTGAACGTGGGCACTTCAGAGCCTTAGAGAGAGAGTCAGAAGCGAGCCGGTGCATGGAGCGGCAGAACATGAAAACAGACACTTTTTTCGAACTTTATCTATTGTGAACATACTTTAGCAGGTACATAGATTAAATATACGAACCCCAAAAAGGGCAGAATATGGGCTTTTTAAAGGTGCACTATGTAGATTTGGTTGTGAAATTTGAAAGTTGGAGAAGTGAAAGTGATATATTTTCTGAACTGAATACGCAAACTTTATTCAAAGTAAAAAATGGGTCCCTGGAACTCTGTTTGGAGATATAAAGTTACCAGGAGAGTTACGCTTTCACTGTTGCGGGCCCACCACCATAACTTCTCCAGTAGCATTTTATCTTCAAACAGTGTTACAGGGACCAAATGTTCCTCTGAGGACAGTTTGTGTTTGGATTTATGATTGACGTAAACCAAGTAATCTGTAAATTTCTCCAACTTTCACATTTCTCTACTAAAACTACATAGTGCACCTTTATAAATGTAAGTGAATGGAACACAAATATGCAATTTGAAGCTCAACATTTACAAAATGCCAGGGCATTTTGTTCTTGACCTTTGATAATAAGGTTGTGGATGAATCACCACTTTAATCAACACAAAAAAAATACTGATATTTCACAAAAGTGGCCTCTAACAGAAAGGCTTGTCATAAAAGTAAAATAGTGTAACCGGTTACACCATTTGACATTTCCACTTCAAATCATATTTGACAGGCATTATTATTGAGACCTATGTTAGCACAGTTCCTGGTGTGAACATTTCAAATCTAATTTTCAAAGTGAATTCAAGTTTTTAGAATTATCATAAATTGTTAATGTTTTTCTGAGGTCATACCATTTGACATACCTGACCACGCCCTTAAAATGTCAAATTATCTCATGGTTTAAAGAGAGTTGCTAAACATGGCGTGCAGCAGCAGATATGATGAATATATTAACAAAATGGCTCCTTCAATGGTGGTTACACCATGTTGACAATTTGGTACTTGACTGGGTGACACGATTTCCCTAAAATAATTATAATAATAAGAACAATGATGTTCCATTACTTTTATTTACTATTGAACAGTTCTATTGTAAGATTATGCCAGACTAGTTCATAGGGTGTTATATGAAAATTTAACCTTTTTAAAGCAAGTTTAATTCTTTGGTATGAAGTTTCAACAGTTACACCACTTAGACATTTTTGCCTAAATACCCCAATTATTCTCTAAAAATGTATAATAAATATACATTTTAGACTAGGTCCTCAAAACAAAGAATGAAAGCATGTCATTTGTGCATTTATTTTTAAATTTTAAGCCTTTAAAAGTTAACTAAACCTTATGGACACAAAAAACTGAGCGTCACGTCACCCATCTACATTTTGAACAAATAATTCACAAAACGTGAATATATATTTCCATTTAAATCAATTATGCCAATGGTGGTCAATTTGGTACTTGACTTGGTGACACAATTTCCCTAAAATAATTATAATAATAAGAACAATGATGTTCCATTACTTTTATTTACTATTGAACAGTTCTATTGTAAGGGGAGAGAGAGAGAGACTTTTCTTGGCTTGGTGTCACTTCAGCTAGTGCAGCACGGATAAGCTCCTCTTCTACAACGGGTCTACCTGCTGAAGGTGTTTATAAACTGATGTCTCATTGTCTTAAGCAATCACCGCTGCAGCTCCGAGCGATAAACACATTTAGTTCCGGAAAGTTTTTCACAATAAAAATCCCTAATTGCCATCTCTGTGATGTGCTTTTATTTTGAAGAAGACGTTTGAGGAAGTTGGGTGTTATAAGCTGCTGCAACTTAACACATCTCAGATGTGTGAAAATAAATACTTCAAACCAAACAGACTCAGTTAGAAGCTTCAGTAGCTAATAGGTAAACAAACAGAGACTAAAACATCTAACATTTAAACTCTTACAGGCTCATTTTAAAACAATAAATGGATTATCTTTCATCTCAGGTTTAGTTGCAGCTAAGTCAGCCTTTGAGGCTGCATTTGAGACTAACCAGCCTCAGAATAATAAAACTAAAAACACTAAAATACTCTTTACACTTTTTATGATTGAGACAAAGATCCTTTTAGTATTTTCTTAAATACTTTTTAGGTTTAGGAGGTTTAATATGTGATTTTTCACACTTAAATAGAAATCAAGTATATCCTCTGAAAATAACTCTGAGAGTCATGACTGTCTACAATGGGTGTAACACCCGAGTCCCACTGTCTGTGATGTTTTCAGAGTCCTATCTTCACTTTGTTTACATCGCCGGGACGGCCAGCTGACTCCTCCCCTCGTGTATATAAGTTGTTTAATTGAGGGACTAGAGAAAAGAAGAATAACATACTGTACTCACTGCTTAACTGTGTTTCTAGATCACGCTCATTTCAGGTAAATTTACATGCAGTGTGAAGATACGAGCATAATAAAGATCGCTAGCATTAGCATGCTAACACAACAATGCAGCGCGAGTTGTTTTGGTTTCATGCTGGTGCTCAAGGGTGACATCTGCTGGATCAAAAAAATCACATATAAAGCCTTTAAACATTTCCCTTCATAAAACAGCTGATTACTTGAACATATAATCCTTGATTATTTATTCATTATGTATATTTTGTTTTTTCAATGGGGTAGAAAAGAAAATGTTTATCTGAAAAGATAAATCATTGTAAAGATCGGCCTTTAATTAAAAAAACTTTGAGATTAATATCCTCTCGTCCTTTTTTCACGACACACGACGAGAGATGCATTGTTAAAAAAAGTAACTAAGTAACTTTTACTTAAAGTACATTTTAAACAAGTTACTTTTACTTTGAGTACCGTATTTTCCGCACTATAAGGCGCACTTAAAAGCCTTTAATTTTCTCAAAAAACGACAGTGCGCCTTATAATCCGGAGCGCCTTATATATGGATCAATTGGTTAATTGGTTGATCCATACTGGTTGTACACGGCGCTCAGCGACACTGACTCGGATAATGACGAGAGGGAGCCGGGCAGGTTGGATGCCGTACTCGCCCAACTGTTCAATTCGGACACTGAAGAAGAAGAATTCGAGGGATTCGTGGACGGGGAATGAACTGAAAAAGTGAGCTTTACGTGTTATACGTAACTGAACAATGTTGAGTTATGCACTAACACAGGGGTGCCCAACCTTTTTTGAACCAAGATCTACTTTTAAAGTTACCAGTCTGCCGAGATCTACCAGTCCACATAGTGAGCCATAGCCTTTACCAACAGCCTACAAATGCATTTAATACAAATACTAAGTAAAAAGGTTCGCGTGTGTGTGTGTGTGTGTGTGTGTGTGTGTGTGTGTGTGTGTGTGTGTGTGTGTGTGTGTGTGTGTGTGTGTGTGTGTGTGTGTGTGTGTGTGTGTGTGTGTGTGTGTGTGTGTGTGTGTGTGTGTGTGTGTGTGTGTGTGTGTGTGTGTGTGTGTGTGTGTGTGTGTGTGTGTGTGTGTGTGTGTGTGTGTGTGTGTGTGTGTGTGTGTGTGTGTGTGTGTGTGTGTGTGTGTGTGTGTGTGTGTGTGTGCGCGCGCGTTGGTAAAACATTTACCCCCCCCCCCCGGTTTTACCTGCACGTCCTTGCGCATGCCTGCACTCTCTCTTGCGCGCGCTCTCTCTATCTCCGCCGCTCGCTCTCTCATGCACGCAGCAATTTCATGAATAAATGAAAAATTAAATACACACAGGTCGGAAGTATACTTGGGCTCCCAACACAGGTATCGTGTGTGGGAAACAGTGCAATGAGATGAAATTGAAATCACTTTTCTATTTTACAATTGTATTTTATATTGACAAAACATCTCGTGATCGACTGAGAATCAGTCAGCGATCTACCTGTCGATCGCGGTCGACTGTTTGGGCACCCCTGCACTAACGTTTGAATTAGCGGTATCAGACTGTGTTTCTTTTACGTGTTTACAACTGAACAAGGCTGGGAGATATTGTGAATATGCACATTAACGTTTGAACAACGTTGAGTTATTGTGAATGCACTACGTACAAAATTACGTTTTGAGAGTTAAGAGAAACGTCAAAGAAATAATTTATTATTTGGGGAAATCGTCTTATGTACTTTTGTTTTTGTAGTTTTATACATTACGTTTTATACGTATTTATATTTATATATTCACAATATCTCCCAGCCTTGTTCAGTTGTAAACACGTTCTATTCTATGCGCCTTATAATCCGGTGCGCCCTATATATGAAAACAGTTCTAAAATAGGCCATTCATTGAAGGTGCGCCTTATAATCCGGTGCGCCTTATAGTGCGGAAAATACGGTACATTTTTAAACTGTTACTTTTACTTGTACTTAAGTAAAATTTCATCAAAGTAACAGTACTTTTACTTGAGTAGAATATATTAGTACTCTTTACACCTCTGCACCACTCAGACATTTTTGCCTACATACCCCAAATATTCTCTAAAAATTCATAAAAAATAAATACATTTTAGACTAGGTCCTCAAAAAAAAGAATGAAAGCTTTTACTGAACCGCAGCTAGTAAGCAGACACGGAGAGTCCAGCTTGTTTCTTGAGAGTCAGGTCGTTTATTACACACACAGAGCTCAAACTGCACATACACTTAAGATACTGACTCGTTTCTCTGCTGTGACACTGCCCTGATCCCCGGCATCAACTACGTGACTCACACACACACACACCGATCGAACACACACACTCGCATCCGCTCTCCCTCTCCTCACTCGCTTCACCACCCACACACGCGCTCTGAGCTATAAACAGACAAACACTACTCGGTAAGAGTTTGCAGAGTCACAAAGTAAGTTAAAACCATAGACTGTAAACCAACGAATGTCAGACAGAAAATATAGTTGACTTTGCAGATGCCTGGTCTGGTTGTAAACATGATAACGATAGTAAACAATGGGTCCTTCAAAAGCCGCGGCCCCAACACATCGGCCGGAATATCACCAGTTTATTCAACACCAGTTAAACCAACGACACGCAGTCAATCTAGCCACCATGATAAACAACTTTCCATACAGTACGACAATCATAGACTATTTGTGCTGGTCAGAATAAAGATGACTTAATCAGATTGTCTGATAGCTAGGCTAATCGCTGTATGCACAGATGCAATGCTACAGTGATCACATTAAATCATACCCTTGAACCTACGCTTCTGTGATTGGCTGAATAGGAAGGAGACATCTGATTGGCTACAGACATTTCCCTGCTGAAAAAAATGCATATGTGAATCTAACGCGTAATATTTACAGTCTTTGATCTAACCAAGGCAGGGGAGTCTCAAAAATCCCACACACAAATGCAGTGAGGTTCACAAATGACAAACAGTTTGTAAATGCAGACTGAACACTTTATATATTTGTTGATTTCTATTACATATATACAAAATTACAAATATTTGTGAGTCAGAAATAGATTTGCGAATCTTATTTTTTTATTTGTGGATTTCTTTTACATTTATATAGAATGAAATATATTTGTGTGTGCATTTGTGAATATTGAGACTGATCTAACTCCATACTTTTCAGCCATTAAAAATGTAATACTTTGACAGCCCTTATTAATATTAAAAAAGCAGTACTGTTAATGTTTGTTTACTGTGTCCTGCAGATGTCCAGCAGCTGTTGGTGAGTAAAGAAGAGCTTCCACCTGAGCAGCAGGAGTGGAGCCACATTCTGGACCAGGAGGACACCAAGCCCCAACACATTAAAGAAGAACATGAGGAACTGTGGAGCAGTCAGGAGGAAGAACAGCTTGAAAGACTGAAGGAGGCTGATACCACCAAGTTCCCCTTCACTCCTGTCTCTGTGAAGAGTGAAGATGATGAAGAGAAACCTCAGTCCTCACAGCTTCATCAGAGACAAACTGAACAGATGGAAACAGGAGTTGATGGAGAGGACTGTGGAGGCGCAGAACCAGAGAGCGACTTAGAGCCAGAGAGACCTTTACAACCTGAGATTGAGGTCAAGATTGAAGACTCTGATGAACCTGAGACTGATGACAGTGATGATTGGCAAGAGAAAAGAGAAGATTTGTCAGAATTAAACTTGAAAAATAAGAAACTTAACACTGGTAAGAGAGCACATAGGTGCTCTGAATGCAGCAAAAGATTTAACAAAAAACAGCATCTGACCAGACACATGTTAGTTCATACAAGACAGAAACCCTACAGCTGCTCTCAGTGTGAGAAAAGATTTAACCAAAAAGGGCATCTGACCAGCCACTTTATGATTCACACTGGAGAGAAACCCTTCAACTGCTCTCAGTGTGAGAAAAGATTTAACCATAAGTCTAGCTTGACAAGTCACATGCTAATTCACACAGGAGAGAAACCCTTCAACTGCTCTCAGTGTGAGAAAAGATTTAACCGAAAGCGGCATCTAACCAGCCACATGAAGATTCACACTGGAGAGAAACCCTTCAACTGCTCCCAGTGTGAGAAAAGATTTAGCCATAAGTCTACTTTGACAAGTCACATGGTAATTCACACAGGAGAGAAACCCTTCAACTGCTCTGTTTGCAGTAAAAGGTTTACCCAAAGAACAAGTCTGACCAAACACATATTAATTCATACAGGAGAGAGACCCTTCAGCTGCTCTGAGTGTGGTAAAAGGTTTACTTCCAAGGGAAATCTGAACAAACACATGATGATTCACACTAGAAAGAAATGCTAATCTGTGCAATGGTAAAACTGATCCAAAATAATTTTGTTCTACTCAAATTTAAAGATAGATGTAATGTAAACATCAAGCCCACAGCATATTGAAGTACACCAAAATACAGTATAGAACCATCCACTTTGAGAAAATGTAGACATCAGAGAAAGACACATTTCAGCATGTTGAGTACTTCATTTAACATGTAAAGAAACAGTACTTAATCACTAGGGGTGGAACAGTACACAAAAATTTTGGTTCGATACAGTTCTCAGTTTTGAAGCTTCGGTTCGGTACATTTTTGGTACAGTAAAGGGACCTGATACAACTCTATTTTTTCTTTATTAGGAACATTTAGAATTTCGCTTTTACACATTGGGCTAAGTGCAGCATCGACAGTTCAGACTTGCACACCTGCTCAGGTTACTTTTTAATAATATTTTAAATTAAACAATGTATAAAAAAAAGAAAACATATAATGAACTTATGCTGCATCCTTCAACCAAAAGAGTCTCCCATAAATAAAAGATATGAATGAAATGAAGTAATTAATATAGCCTATATGTAAAAATATTTCTTTTAAATTACACTGACCTTTTAGTTTATTAAGCCAACAATTTTTTTGAATGCCCTTTGAGCACATAATAAACCTTATCACATCTGGGTGACAGTATAGTTTCATCGCAGAACTATTAATATTTCCCTCTGTCGATATAAGAACTTCAATGGCATTTCTTATGGCTTTGGCCTGTTCAGAATCACTAGCAAAAGGCTGTCTGTTTTTTCCTAGTTGCAGTGATGTTTACGTTCGCGTGGTGCCTTTTCAAGTGCTTTAATAAATTGGACGTGTTACCTGCGACGTAACCCAAATCCGCTGAACAACAACGGCACAGTACGCTCGTCGTCAACGTCTCTTTGTCCGTTATTGTGGGATTGGGGAGGGAGAGTGTTTTCTATCATGCTTCTGGGGCCGCTGCTAGCCGCAGCAGCTGAGACACAAGAATGGCCTGTCGGCAGCAACCTTCTCGCCATTGTTGGGGTTGTATCAAGTCAACTTTGGTTATATTCTTTAATAATTATATTTAATTATTAATAATATAAATAAAATATCATTAAACTATGTTTAATCTGGTTTTGGGGCACCAACCTGTAATCAGGTAAATATAACCAAAATATCACTCAAATCAGTCTCAAATTAGTTATTTAATTACTAATATTATTAATAATGAATAACTATATTTAATAAATTGAAGGCGTGAAATCCGTACACAAAGCCTTCGCACCCAGCTTATATCACAATGCAAATATACCAGTAATCACAAACAACTGCTCTCTTAAATTATAACAGAATTTATTTAAACAAAGCAACATCAATCCAAAATCAATGAACTTAATTAAACAAGTAACTATTATAAACTAATCTAAGCAACAAACATTATCAAGCAAAGGCTTGTGGAAGGGGTGTGAATGTGTGTGCGTGCGTGCGTGAGAGAGAGAGAGAGAGAGAGAGAGAGAGAGAGAGAGAGAGAGAGAGAGAGAGAGAGAGAGAGAGAGAGAGAGAGAGAGAGAGAGAGAGAGAGAGAGAGAGAGAGAGAGAGAGAGAGAGAGGGGGGGGAGATGGCTTCGTACCCTCGTGGTCGTTCACGATGGCGCAAACCTAACAAAGACCTGGGTGCGTGCGTGTGTGGGTGGATGAAAGGGAGAGAAAAAGGGGGGGAAGATTACTTCGTCCCACGTGGTCGCCCTTCCGATGGCACACACCTAACAAAGGCCTAAATGTGGCCTTAAGGCCTAAAAGAGACTGAGTTCGGCCCTACACAATCTGTGTCTCTGAGGCATCTGGATAGCCACGAGTGTATAGATCTCTGTGCGTAATGGCGCGGTGGTGGAGTTGGTCTCCAGATGTACGTTTACACGGGAATATGTGTGTATGTGTATGTTCGTAGAAGGGGAAATAAAAGAGAAATGCGTGCCTGAAGAGGCCGGATCACAGTCCGACTCCCGCGCCACAACTCGGAGTAATTCCCTTCATTCACAGAAACAAACCAATAGCCGAATTCAGGTTAATACGGCTTACACTGGCCTTTCTGATCAGAAGAGTAATACCCGGTTATAACGCTGTTACGCTAAACACATATAGGACGCAGCGGTCCGAAACAACAAGAGTTTTAAACGGTTAAAACTCAGGACGCAGCGGTCCAACAAAGATAAAAATTACAGTTTCTGCTTTGATCAACAATTGTTAAAAACACTCTCTAAAGCTAATTCTGCCCAGACCTAATTAAGCCTCACTTGTGAATCGCTTTGTCCGCGATTGGTGAAAGGAAAAGAGTCCGGCGATGGAGCAGATCTTCTGTCCGTCCTGGTGCAGAGGCGTCTGATGGCGGCGAGGGTCCCTTACGGCGAGAGCGGCTTCGTTGGTTCTCCGTCGAGTGGAAAGATGTCCGTTGATGTCCTTTCGTTGCAGGACGGAATAAGACCGTTATCTTTCTGATAATCTGTTATAGTCTGACGCTCTCCGAGAAACTGAGATGCGTTCACTGGACAATCCAAGCTCGGAATTTAGAACACTGCCGGCCGCGGATTACCTGCGCGCCAAAAACTTAAAACAAAGGAAGATTGTTGCAGGAAACAGGAGATCTTCTTGGGTCTCCGAGCACCGAAGGTCAGCGCGTGAAAGAGGGCGAGCAATGGAAGTCTTGGAGCTTTGTAGCCTGGCCTGCTCCATGGGGGTCTACCTCAGGTCCCCTCCAATGAGGAGAGAGAGGTTCTGGTCCCCCCTTTACTTCACACGTAGGTGTGAAGTACCGCAGGGGATTCTGGGATTAAGAGTCCTTTTAGGCCTCTTTGTGATCTCAGTGAATAACTCAAATGAGGCTTTTACAGAGGTGCAGGCCCAAGTCCATTGTTTGACCGTCCTAAGCCTGCGTGGCCCAACACCATCTTTCAAAATCTTTCTTAATGTTTGATGATTTTTTTCTCTCTTTGGTTTCAGTTTCAGTCTGTCACCAAAAGATGGGCTTCAGGCCAGACAACAGCTGGCTCAATGAAAACATTTGTATTCATAATAAACAAAAATACTGACCTCTATTTTCAAATAAATAAACATATTTTGTCTGTATGCATGGACTGGTTTCTCTGCGTCTGTTTGGGATATGAAGAATCTGAGTTTTTATATGCACTTTAAATGGTAAAATGCTGTTCTGGTAATGTTGGGGATATAATTTTCAAAGCTAAGGTAGGAGTCTAAAATATTTCCAAGATTTTTGGCCTGCTCACTGTATTTCATTGACATGGATTTGAGGTGTAGATGGATATGTTGTCTCTGAGTTTTGGAACAATGAGTAATTCAGTCTTTTCTGTGTTGAGTTTTAAAACATATCTTTTACACAATCTGTAAGTTTTTCCAATAAAGCTAAGATCATCATATGAAAGTGAAATGTATACCTGTGTGTCATCAGCATATGAATGATATATTTTGTTTCTACATGATTGTACTAAGTTGGAGCATGTATAGATTAAAAAGCAGCGGCCCAAGGAATGATCCTTGTGGAACCCCAGAGAAAACCTTGCCTGGAGAAATGTGACATTTCCTGTCTTGTAAAAAGATGTGAACCAGTCGAGAACAGGGCCTGATAGGCCAACTAAATCGTGAAGTCTTTGAATCATTATATCATGATTAACAGTATCAAATGCAGCTGTAAAATCAGGTGGATCAAGCGGTCAAAAGCATTTTCCGCGTTAAGTGAAACTGCGATGCACAGACTTTTGACATGTTTAGAGCTGTGAATAATATTAAAGAATCTTCATACATGAACAATTTAGGATCTATTTTAAATGACTCCTGTTTGATCCATGTTTATGAAGTCTTTTCAAGTCGTACAGCAAGGATTTTAGAGAATATTTTATATTTACTGGGTAGGATTAAAATAGGCCTATATGAGCTACACAGTTGAGGGCCTGCTGCAGTGATTCTGGAAGCCTCCCTGTATCTATAGAATAGTTAAACATCCTAAGCAGGTGACTTGATGTACCTTAGAAAAGGGTATCAGCATTAAATCTATACGGGTATATACAGGTGAGTAAAAAAGAATATTCTCTTGTGTTTTTATACCAAATGTCCATTCCCAACATCTCGAGTGTCCACTTTCAATGTTGCGGGGTAAAACATCCCGTACTTCACGTTTGCACGGTGGAGCCGGGTCTTCAATGCGTTGAACGCCATCCACTTCTAGTGCAGAAAAGGCGAAGAGTCAGGAAATATTATTTTGGTAATAATATAATATTATTTTATTATATAAGATTATTAAATTTTGTCCAAAAATATGAGAATTGCTAGTTCTCAAAAGAAATAAGAATATCGTGATGAGTCAGGAACCTTTAATTGACGTGATAACGGAGAGAAGACATCAGACATGGTTCTCTCCAGAAGGGTCGCTCACACTGACTGACTTTAAATAGAGACAAACTCTCCTTCGGTCTCCTACATCAAAGAACATTTAAAACAATGAACACTTCAGAAAGCAACCACAGACAATCAACAGCAGAACGTCTATCCTGTGCATGTTCAGGTGTCATTGAGATTTTCTTTATTTTGTATTCTGACTGCAGGATTCTTATTAAGGGTTAAAGGTTTTCAGTGAAATCAACCTGGACCTGATCTGACTGTGGTCGCTCTGCATCAGGATCTGCTGAACTCCTTTTCTTTACCAAAGAGACTTAGACACTCCACACAAAATAACACAAGTAGATGAAAGTCTTTCTCACTCTACATCAGTTTATTTATTACAAGGTTACACATGAGCTGTCTGAAGAACTTGTGCTACCCAACACAGAGGCCTCCAAGGAAACAGAGTGACAGAAAGAAGAGAAGATATCAAGAGAGAAAAAGGATCCTTTCACTGTAACTGTTTCATA